TTTTCATTTATGAAAAACATATTATACTTGGAAGAAGTTTTGTTTTTGAATTTAAACAACCACCATAGACTTCCGCTGCGATTAATTTGATTAAATGCATGTTTAATGTTCAAATGAACTTTGGAAAAATATTTTGAATTTCCTACAGGGAAAAGGTCAGGGTGGCAGCTTTCTTTGTGGTGGAAACAACGGCTCACTTTACCACATTGTTAGGTCGAGATTGGATCCATGGAAATATGTGTGTCCCTTCCTCGCTCCATCAGACTCTACAATTTTGGCAAGAGGATGGGAGCATGGAATTGGTTCAAGCTGACTCACGGCCTTTCATGGCTTCAGCCAATGCAGTGGAGGCCAGGTTTTACGAGGATGATCTTGGTCCTCTTTACTTTACGGGGTCAGATAGGAACGGCCGACCTACGGGAGTCTCGGCCCAGAAGTTGATAGACTTGGGGGCACACGATGCCCAAGCAGATGGGGAGCGCCCCACGATGACTGATTTCTTCTATCTCAATGAGTGAAACAACCACTAAGGAAGAAAAGAGAGTCGCGGTGGGAGACACTTTGAGACGGCTATATGGTTTTTGGGACGAGAGAGCAGCCGAGCATGGGTCCACCGCTCATTTGGTGGAATTCCTCCACGAAGGCCCTGAAGATAATGCACTCGAAATCGAAGAAGTGGAGTTGGCACCGACTCAAACAGATGATTCAAAGGGGGAAGTCCAAGATCCACTGTTGGAAGTCAACTTAGGGATGGAAGACAATCATCGACCAATTTACATCAGTGGCCTGATGGAGCCAGAGCTTCGAACCAAAATGGAGGAGCTTTTAAGAGAGTTCAAGGATTGCTTTGCTTGGGATTATACTGAGATACCTGGACTAAGTCGTGATTTGGTCGAGCACCGTCTGCCAACAACGGAGGATTTCAAGCCCTTCAAGCAGTCACCTCGCCGAATGTCAGCGAAAGTAGAATTACAGGTCAAGGAAGAAATTGTAAGGATTACAGGTCAAGGAAGAAATTGTAAGGCTTGTTAAAGCCAAATTTATTAGGCCAGCAACATATGTGGAGTGGCTTTCTAATATTGTATCTGTAAAGAAGAAAATGGGAGCAATAAGAATTTGTGTTGATTTTCGTAACCTTAATCTCGCAACTCCCAAAGACGAATATCCCATGCCCATGGTGGACCTCTTAGTTGATGGGCGGCCAAGCAAGAAATTTTATCCTTCATGGACGGACACTCCGGCTATAACCAAATTTTCATAGCCGAAGAAGACGTTCACAAGACAGCCTTTAGATGTCCGGGTTCCTTTGGAACATTTGAGTATGTCGTGATGCCCTTCAGCCTAAAGAATGCCAGAGCCACATATCAACGGGCAATGAATGCCATCTTCCACGACATGATCGATCGAAACTCAGAAGTTTATATCGACGATGTGGTTGTGAAGTCGGAGTTGAGACCAGGCCATTTGAGTGACCTTCAGTTAGCCTTCGAGAGAATACGAAAGCATCAATTGAAGATGAACCCAAAGAAATGTGCCTTTGGGGTTTCCGCCGGAAATTTCTTAGGATTCTTGGTACATCAGAGGGGGATCGAAATTGATAAAAATAAGGCTAAGGCCATCATTGATGAGCCTCCCCTGAGAAACAAAAAGAACTGCAAAGTTTGCTAGGCCAAATAAACTTCCTCCAGAGGTTTATAGCTAACTCCGTTGGGAAAGTCGAGCCATTTTCATCTTTACTAAAACTCAAGGATGAGGAGAAATTTCGGCGGGAAGAAGTTCACCAAAAGGCATTTGATTCCATCAAAGAGTATTTGACCAAGCCACCGGTGCTAATCCCGCCGAAGAGAGGCCGACCTCTAAAATTATATATTTCGGCTACAGAAAATTCCATTAGAAGTCTTTTAGCCCAAGATAACGATAAGAAAAAAGAGCAAGCAGTGTACTACCTAAGCCTAATTCTAACGGCCACTGAGAGGAAATATTCATCAGTGGAAAAACTTTGTTTGGCCTTATACTTCACCGCGACCAAGTTAAGGCATTATATGTTTCCTTCCATGATGCATATAATCGCCAAGAATGATTTGATAAAGTACATGCTCACTCGGCCAATCATTAGAGGGCGGATTGGAAAATGGATGATGGCATTGGCAGAATTCACTTTCCGATATGTACCTCAGCAGGCCGTCAATGGGCAAGCTTTGGCTGATTTCTTGGCCCCTCACCCTTGTGTTGAAATAGAAGATATGGACTTTTTCAAAGTCAACATGTTAAGTTTATTCCCATGGCGTCTCTATTTCGACATATCTCAGACATCAAATATGCGGTGAGCAGGTGTCATCATTTAATCCCCTCATGGTTTCCGAACTCGCTATTCATTTCAATTAGACTTTGATTGTTCTAACAATCAAGCTGAATATGAGGCCTTGATCATTGGGTTGGAGATTTTGGGAGAACTCAAAATAAATAGTGTGTCGATCATGGGGGATTCGATGTTGGTTTTGAAACAACTATCTGGAGACTATAAGGTAACCAGCCAAGCATTGCTCGGCTATCATGCCTTGGCCAACTAACTAATAGAAGGTTTTGATGAAGTGAGACTTGCTCACCTACCAAGGGAGCACAACTTACAGGCCAATGCAATGGCCCAATTGGCCTATGGAGTTCAAATATCTGAAAGGCTTTCTGAGGAGTTATTCAAACTTGAAAAATGATTGTTGCCCTCAATTTTTGAAAGAGGAATACCAATGGAGGTTATGGCATTGACTACAACTCTAGATGACTGGAGACACGACATCGTGGAGTATCTAAAATGTCCAAATGGTCCACATTGCTGGCTGGTTTGGCAAAGGGCCATAAGCTATGTGCTGAGGGGTGAAGATCTTTTTTGTATTGGCTCTGACGACTTACTCATGAAATGTCTGGGAAAGATTGATCAGATGGTGGTTATGACTGAGGTTCATGAAGGAATATGTGGAGCTCATCAAGCAGGCATCAAGATGAGATGGTTGTTAAGGAGGTATGGCTATTATTGGCCAACCATCCTGAAGGATTGCATTGATTACGCCAAGGGGTGCCAAGATTGTCAAAGGCATGGCCCGGTTCAGCATGTTCCGGTCGGGCCCATGAATCCTATTGTGAAGGCTTGGCCTTTCAAGGGTTGGGTGATATATGTGATTGGCCAGATCCACCCGAAATCATCCAAGGGTCACAAGTTCATTTTAGTGGCTACCGACTTCTTTACAAAGTGGGTGGAGGCCATACCACTCAAGCAAGTTACCCTAGCTGAGGTGATAGAGTTTATTGAGAAATCTATCATCCATCGATTCGGATTACCAGAGTTTATCATGACTGGTCGAGGGACGGCTTTCATGGGGGAGGCTATCAAACCAGCAGCAAAAAATTGGGGAGTTAGGATGGTTCAATCCACCCCATACAATCCTCAATCAAATGGTTAAGCTGAGGCCAGCAACAAAGTAATAAAAGGTATTTTGGAAAAAATGATTGAGAAAAATCCTGAAGAATGGCATTCTCTCCTATCCAATACCCTTTGGGCATACAGGACCTCTAAAAGGTCTGGCACGGGAACGACGGCATTCGCACTCACATACGGCCTTGACGCTTTCTTACCTCTCAAGATTTCGGTAAAATCTTTAAGGGTGGCTTACCAAGCTGAATGGAGTGAGGATGAGTATGACCAGGCGATGGCTCAAGAGCTAGACGATCTTGACGAAGTCCGACTTGAGGCTTTGGATAAATTAAAAGCCCAAAAAGAAATGGTGGCCAGGGCGTATGATAAGAAGACTAAGGCCAAGAGTTTCGGAGTTGGGGATTTAGTATGGAAAACTATTCTTCCGGTATGAACGAAATATCGTAGTTTTGGTAAATGGTCTCCAACCTGGGAATGACCTTTCCTCATCAACCAAGTTTTAGGAGAAGGAGCATATAGGTTAAGTTATGGGAATGGTCGTTTCCATGATTCACCCATCACTGGCCGCTTTTTGGAGAAATATTACCTAACTTCTTGGGAGATGATGGGGGCATGATCCATCATGGTCATGTTAAGGACAAGAAAATGTGGCTCCAAGAGGTGAAGATGTTAGTAGACTAAAAAGACTAGCATATAAAATATAAAGTGAGGACTAAAATTTTACCTTGCTTAAAACTATAATAAGTGGAAGAGCAAGCTCAACCCCAAAAGATCCTCTCCATATGGACCACAGAAGGTTGGGAAAACCAAGTGGCTGATATTTTTCCCCCACCAAGCCTTGAAGGATTCGGTGAAGCCAAATTTGGGGTCGCGAGTCTGGAAGTTAAAAACTTTGACCAGCTCATGATTAAAGTTCACCACGGAATTCACCTCGCCTACTTTCTTAAAAGATACTCTCCATGAGGAAAAATAGTTGGGGGAGATGAAACACCCTGAATACTAAGAGCAATGGCAATGGAGTTTTGAGTATGGAGAAATGTTTGGAGCCAAATTGGTATTTATAATGCCTAGGTTTTCTAACAGATATGAAGTTCAAAGGTCTCTCAAGAATAGATTAGGGTATCTCCTTAAACATCAATTTAACTCAAACACCATAAATTGCTACAGTGAAGCATGAAGTTGAAACATCCGGAGAAAGCTAACAAGTCGTAAGAATTTTAATTCACTTACCCTTTCACCAATTGAAGGCTAAGGAATCAAGAGGGCAATGTTTGGATGTGGTCACCAAATTCCAGCCAAGTCAAGTGGTCTCAATTCCAATGGGCCTAGACAATAAACACATAGCAATAAACAAAAAAAATCTGAATAGTTGGGTTTGTAGTAAATGATCAGTTAAGTAAATTCAAGATTTGGAGTTGTCTCACCAGCCACTTGCGAAACCTTTTTGCCAGCCAACTCCTCACAAAAATCTGCCTGGGTTTCCAACCAACTCGTGCATGCTAGTTGGGTTTCCAGCCAACTCTCGCAAGCCGGCTGGGTTTCTAGCCAACTCTCGCATGCTAGTTGGGTTTCCAGCCAACTTCTGCAAACCAGATGGGTTTCCACTCTTTCGATCTAGGCTTTTCCCCTCGCAATAGCTAGCCAGGTTTGCCAGCCAAAGTAAGGCCAAGCGGGTTGAGGTTTTCCTCCTTGCACAGCTGGGCTGGGTTTGCAACCAACCCCAAGAAGTATGCTCATGAGCTCCAACAAAAGTTTCCCTACAAGTGGTGGAGTTTAAAGACAGGAAGGATTAAGTGCCAACCTACCAAGACTCATTGCACCTTATATCAAGGGGAGAGTTTTCACAATCCCAATGCCGTTTTATTGACTAATTGTATGGGTTGGTGGTGGTTGGGAAGTTAATGTCTAGAGCTCCGGAAGACATTAATATTGGAAGGATTTTCAAGGCATAATTAGTTGTGGCCATTTAATCGTCAAATCTTGTGAGCTGAAGGAAGCTCTATAAATAGGTCGTCAAAAGAAGAGAAGAGGACCTCCAACTCAACACACAAAACCTATCTTTTTATCCTGTACTTTTCAATTCATAGTCTAAGATTTTATCTTTTGAGCGCTTTAGATTATCCAAGTTCTTCATTTTCCTAGTGTAAGCTTACTTTCTTGCAATTTAATTTCAATTGTCTTTAAATTCAAGTTTAATTCAAGTCTTTATCGCTTTAATCTATTTTATCGCATTTACATCCTTGTCATTTCATTTACTGCATTTACATTCACTGCACTTATCACAAAAATCCTAAAAATAGCCATACAAAACTCAATCATCCTTGACCTCAAGGAAGAAAAAGAACCTAGGGCAAGAGAAGGTTCTTTGCTTGGCCGATCAATCGTTTGATTAGAAGTCAGAAGCACAAACACCCTCACACGATCTTTCCATCCAAGCCATCAATTGGCTTGGTGGTGGCACGCCTACGCATCTCAAGAGAAGAAGGACCAAAAAATCCTTCCATTGGCCTATTTGGCCAAAAAGAGGGAAACAGGAAACAAGTTGATTAAAACGATCAGATCCAGAAGATTCCTCTTAACCTAAAAAGCAAGACCCAGTAGATTACTTGTATTTGTAGGTCTATGGCAATGACCAAGTGTAATAAGTTCCAACTGTAAACCTTGCCCCCTGCATTATGTCTCCTTCTAGCTTCATTATTTCCAGGCCAATTTGATTTATGATGACATGATTTTCCATATAAAGTAGGGCAGGGGAACTAGGGACTTTGTTCATCTTCTCTTGTGTTTAAAGGGATCCAGCCACAATCTTTTATTGATTGCCCAAAATACTGACTAAGTATCAAAAATGGGTTTTCGGAATAATCATTTTCTCCCGATAACTAAAACCGATTTTAGTATGAAGTATATATTGACTTAATGAACCATCATTTTTAGCCTAAATCGTATTTTACACTAAAACCGATTTTTCATATTTTGATTTGGTGGGAATTTGATTTTCTAGTATTTTTATTTGAATCCAAATGGGGGTACTTCCTTATTTACATTGTAAACTTAAGTAAATGTCATTTACTTAAATGTTAAAAGGTAATCTGTACAGCGCAACTAACTCGGCTAATATTCAAAATCAGTTAAATATATAAGTTTTATATTTTTATTCTTAACAAACCACACTGGGCTATAGCCAACTATAGCCCTTAGTATGGTTCCACCCTTGATCTCAGTCTCACTGACATCACCAACCTGGTGGCCTAATAGGTGGACCCCACACCTTGTACTTGGCCCTGCACCTTGGTAGTAAAATATAACTTGACACATATTACCCTGTTGCAACCGCGTCGGTCCTTCCACCATGTTCTTGTTCGGATCCAATAATGAACTACAGTTGAGCCACACATGAGTTTCCTCTAACTTAATAGTATACTCAGCCCAAATCCATATCTCGTTGACCTGTTTTCCATTTATGAGAATCTTGGCGCGAAACTGACAACCATGATAAGTCATGAGATCGAAAACAGCACATAGAGCCAATCTTGACGTCTCCCATTCTAAATTTGGAGGAATCTCAAAACAAACTTCACATTCAGTAACGTATTCCCCTTTATTATCTGAAAAAGGATCTTCAAATACTGTTGCCTCTTTACAACAGCTAAACCACTTTGGAACTTCAGTTTCTGGA